GCTCAGAGGTCTCCTAGAGACACGAGGATCTTTTACGTGCCGTAAATCTATGACACGGGACCCACGGCTTAAAGTCCCTCCTGGAGGACTTGTTCCCTGAATTTTTCCGCCCTTAAAATTTACACGACCTCCGCCGGGTTTGAACCTGCGTACCTTGAGTCATGAGGTGGGAACGTTACCCCTAGACTATGGAGGCCGCTTCTGTATAAACATAAATGGTATAGCTGGTGAGCACAGATATATTTGGTGCTGGCAGTGAAAACGTTAACTGACCTGTGATATAGTAGGCCCATTCATTTATTTTGTCGAAGTTGGGTGAGTGTCTCCCATAGACATAAAAGAGCCGTTGCATGTGAAAGGGTGCCCAGCACAGGAAGAACGTGACTACCACAGCCGCTGTAACACAACCAGAACAGTTCACTGGACATGGGGACCAAATCACAGCGTATGGAGTGATGAACAATTATGTACAACAGGTTGGTAAGGATAATATTTGGACTTAAGAGGAGGGAAATGAATGAAGAACGTAGAAAACTGCATAATGAGCAGCTTCATAATTTGTGCTGTTCACATTATTGAAGTGGTCAAATGATGGATAATGAGATAGGCTGAGATAGTATGCATACAGAATTTCGGATGCAATACGTGAAGGAAAGAGATGACTTGGGAGACCTAGTTGCAGATGGGAGGTTAATATCAAAATGGATCTTAAAGTATCAGGGTAAGGGGTGTGGACTGAATTCATCTGGCTCAGGATAAGAATCTGAGATGAGTTTTTGTGACTGTGAAGATCAACTTACAGGTTCTGTAAAGAGTGGGGAATTTTTTCCCTAGCTAAGTGACTGTTAGCTTCTCACATGGGACCCTACTCCATGCAGTTGGTTAGTTAACTTATAGTGTATTGTTTTTCCAGGCAGGAGACGTGAAGTTGCCTGATGTGAACAAAGATGTCCCTGTGTTTGCAGCAGGGTTTCATTGCCTGATGTTATGAAGCAACAAGAAATCATGTCCTGCCTGCACAATTGTGGGTTAAGCGTCTGAAAGCATGTTGTTACAAATAAAAGGTAAAGGTAAAAAGGTAAAGCTATCCCTGTAACAGGCTGTGAAGACCCATAGGGTTGTCAGACATTGAGGCTCCCACATTTTCTCTAGATATTCAGCTCACAGATGGCAGTAAGTTTGTCAGCCTTACGCGCCTGCCACCCTTTACCCCACCAAGGAAGATTCCTGGTATTCATTTCTGTTAGAAGCTGAGTCAACCCAAGGGCCATAGTGTGGCTGAAAGGAAAAGAAAAAGAAAAGAAAAGAAAAACCCTCATACTCATCATATGTATGATATGAATATATTTTTCTTTCAAGTTTACCTAAGCACTTCATGAATACTAAATTTTATGTATGATGCACTTTAGTATGGCTCAGCACATTACAGTATGGGGATTCGCTTAGTGGGGGGTGGAGTCCTACTTGGTTCACTTGGCATGGTGACCACTGATTGGCCTATTGTAGCCTGCCCCGAGTGATTATGATGATGGAGAATTTAGTGGAATGAAGATTAGCAGGGGAAACCGAAGTACTTGGAGAAATCCTGCCCCAGTGCCACTTTGTCCACCACAAATCCCACTTGACCAGACCCGGGATCTAACCCGGGCCGCTGCGGTGGGAAGCCAGCGACTAACCGCTAGCGCTATGGCACGGCTTACAGTATGGTGATGGTGGACTGATATAAAGGAGATGTTTTTACTTTTTCTGAGAAACTTCCTCCTGATATGATTGAAGCGATAGTGGTTAAACAAGTTCACATACACTCTCATTTTTAAAAACGGAGTAAAATTCTCTGCATTGCAAGGGACTAGGGCTGCAAAATTATTAATTTTTTCGTTGGGAAAGGGGGGCGAAATGGGATAGTAGTTGGACTCCTTACCGACTGAGGTAATGGCAGTTTAATCGGCCGTCGTAGTTATTTCCCAAGTTTGTCGCACAGATGGCAGCATTACAATTGTGTTACGTCATGTCAGCTAGTAAGACTGATACAGAGGGTCGGGTGGGCATTGCCTAGACTTTTTTTGTACACATATTTATTTAAAAGAATCATGGCAGCTAGGTTTCCAGTCAATAGCAACTAATTACATATCTGCACCCTACTAATGTACGTTTACGTGTGTTCATGTTTTGGTCACTGGATACAACAATCTATTTTACCGAGCATTCTGATGATAGGTTTAGTCCGGGAGTTCAGGTGCTTCGTTTCGCCAGGGAATCTGATAACGCGACTGCGGATTGTGACGCCCATACGGACATACAAGATGACGATGATCAGCATGGGACCCAGGAAGAAGAGAAATGCGCTCAATTCATACATAGGCCAGTCAGAAGGAACGGTGTGATCCAACATGGCGCAGAAGGCGGATTCCGCTATTTGGTGCGTGGAGCCTGAGAAGAAAATCACAGCGACTGTAGAACAAGGACGTACAACACATATCAAAGACACAAAGCACAGCAATTAAATAATTACAATTTGTCAGTACCAGTACATTTATTGTTCAATTACAGTGGCTTCCTATTTTCGATGAACATTTCTGTAGACAGTTTGAATACGCAAACTCGGACCCATTCGACTTATTCAAGATCTTTTAGTATTGCGCAAACATCAGAAGGGAACAAAGCAAGTTATGACATCAAGAAGTTTAAATGTATCTCCAACAAATCAGTTTACAGCGATGGACTAGCTAACAGCGTGGAGCAGGGTCTTGTTTGAGAAGTTAATAGTTGAACAGGTAATAAAGAAATCCCCACAATTTGTGAAACCCGACTCTGTCGCTTCTCGACATCTTGGAATGAAGCACAAATCATAACCCTCCGGAAATCCGGCAAGGACCCACAATTTCCCGAAATTATATGTCCGATCAGCCTCCTATCCATTACGAGCAAACGTTTTGAGAAGCTGATTTTAAGAACAATCCAAAGACATGTCGAAGGGGGAGGGGAATTTACTAAACCGCACATCAGTTTGGCTTTCGAGCACATCACAGCACTACAGTTTATTGTATGAGGCTGACGGATCACATCATTCTAAATTTCAACGTTATGTCGATGGCTGAGGTACCATGATGGCCTTTGACACAACATGTCACTCTGGCCAACTATACGATTTTTTTTTTGCTTTTCTCATAGGGTATTACTGAGTCCACTTGGTATTACGGCCACCGGCCTATTGTACCAACCCCGGATGTTGACGTGATGATGATTGTGGGCAAATCGGTGGAATATGAATTGGCAAGGGAAACCGAAGTACTCAGAGAAAACCTGGCCCAGTGAAAGTTTATCCACCATAAATCCCACATGACCTGAGTCGGGATTGGACCCGGGCCGCTGCGGTGAGAAGCCGTCGACTAACCACCTGAGCTATGGGACGACCTTACTATATGAACTGACAGAATTAGGATTTTCGGTAAGTCTCATTAAGCTGACTGCTCCTTTTATCACTGACACAACAATTAAAGTCTCAGCAGAATGCGAATTTCCCCCAACCAGAGAAACAGCACTGGGAAAGCACATTAACGATAAATAAACGTAAATGTTGATAGTGAAATTTCCTCCATATTAAACATAACAATCATGTTAACATAACTTGGCTTATAGGGTCTTTTTTGTGAAGATAGGTTCACCACAGGTTGTTAAGGATATATTTTTAATTGCGACCATTAATAGCTCCGTCGTCACAGGGACTAGGCAATGGGCCGGACCAGGCCGCTCCATAGCTCAAGCGGTTAGTCACTGGCTTTCCACCGCGGCGGCCCGGGTTCTAGTCCGAGTCTGGTGAAGTGGGATTTGTGGTGGACTAAGTGGCAGGTCTTCTCATAGTACTTCGGTTTCCCCTGCCAATCTTTATTCCACCAAATTCTTCATCATCATAATCACCCGGGGCAGGTACAATAGGCCATTCAGTGGCCGACGTGCTGAGTGCACCCAACTGGATTCCAGACCCCACTATACGAATTAAAAAGAAACGGGCGGGACTGCCGAGGAGTTCATGTTTGATCCCCGGAATGGCAAGAAATTTTTCTCTTCTCTGCAGCGTCTAGACCGACTTTGGAATACACCTACCCTTCTATACAATTGATAAAGGGGCTGTATTACCTGGAGGGTGGTAGCGCCAGGACGTGAAGCTGACCACTACTATCTAGTTCTGAGGTTAACAAAGGCGGAGTTGTACCTCCACTTCCTCATCCTTCCTTTCCTATAATGCTTAATTAACTAAACCCCATGGATAATTTTAAAGACTTAGGTTATGAATTTATGATCTGGACGGAACCGCTTCAGAACTTTTTGTGGTAAGGAAGATGAACACTTAACAATCTGTTCATACCTGGTGGGTATTCCACGTAGTTGATCTTAGTGTAAACAGCAAACGGCGTGGCACTGAGAAGGGAGACGCCCCATAGGAACACTATGACTCGTAAGGCGGTCCGGGGGCTGGACGTGGCATATGAGTGGATGGGCTGGCAGATGGCAAGGTAGCGCTCCATCGAGAACGCGACGATGGTGAGCACAGACGTGTAGGAGGACCTGAAAGATGCGTTGAATGTCTCACGTTAAATTTACAGTGGTTTATGTTACCACGCGGGGGGATCTGCAGAGAGATAAAGCAAAAGAGAAATAATCGTAAGAGAAGAGAGGAACACAGAAATAAGGAGGGGAAAGAGCGAGAGAGGAGGGCTAAACACAGAGAGAAAAGAACTAAACTAATTAAAAAGAGAAAGACAGATAAGGAGAGCATATTACTGATTTTTGTTCCATGCCATTTCTTTCCCACCGCCATTTTTGATTTTCTCATATGTTCCTTTCCATTATTTCGTTAAGTGATTGAATTTTCTGACTCCTTTAATGGGAAAACAGAGTAAAAGAAAGGTTAAGTCAGGCATTCAGGAAAAGCAGAAGCTGATAAAACCGCAGAATTGGGGTCTATACCGGTAGTGAATCGAACCCACGTGTTCGGAACAAAAGCTACCCGGCTGAGCCAGATGCCATGACTTTTCTTCAAAGGGGATACAAGTAATGGAGCGGAACTGGCTCCCAGCAGCCTCTCCGGACGAAGCTTCAACCTTCAGAACGGAGCATTCATTATGCTCTGAGACTTCGACTTTCAGGGTTTAGTGTCATCCCGCGTGGCATCAGTGAGACTTGCTCACAGCTGTCACGCTTCTCCTGGAGCGTGGGATCCAACTAAGCGTACTACGTTACAGAGGCATGTAAATAAGATTTCGACAGACCCAGTTGCAATAAGAAACAGGAGAAGTTGATATTTGATAGCAATATCTGCTAAAATCACCGAGAAAGCAAATACATATATCAGAGACTTGAACTGACGTATTGTTCGGGATCAGTCCATGTAAAATATTAGAGTATTAGAGCTTGCGCACCAAAGAAATAAGCATACCAATCCCTGGGCTTAATCAATTAAGCTATGAGGACGGATTGAGAAGTGGAAGTACAGCTCCATCATTCTCTATCTCTGCACTAGCTGGAGGCGAGTAGTGAGCTTCACGCTTCTGTTGCTTTACCCTGATGAAACAGCCGTTTATACTCATGGGTTATGAGGCTGGATGAGTCGCAGTGCAGTTCTGAACGTTATGGATTTCTGATGGGAATCGAACTCCAATCCGTCGGTCGTCCAACCTATAGGCTAGTCGCTATACCGACCAAGCTCCCCCAGCTGATACGTAAACCAATTATAAGGGATTTTTTCTTGAATTAGAGCACGCGGTAGCGTAGTTGGTTGCTACAATCCGGAAGGTCGCGGGTTCAAGTCCCGATGATGTTATTGGATTTTTTCAATTTACCTAATCCTTCCATCCGCACTACGGCCCTGTGGTCGATTCAGCCTCTAACAGAAATGAGTACCAGGGATATTCTTGGTATATTCTTGGGGGTAAAGGGTGGCCAACGCGTAAGGCTGACAAACTTACCGCCATCTATGAGCTGATTGTCTAGAAAAGGTGGGAACCTCAACATCTCACAACCCTATGGGTCTTCACGGCCTGTTGCAGAGATACCTTTACTTTTTTTTTTTAATGATGTATACAGGTCGTGGGAACAGACGCGCAGGAGAAAGGACACAGTACCAAAATCTCTTGTGTGTCTCCTTATAAACCCGGCTTTGGACGCCAGAAAGAGGGCGAATCGAGTTGCGGGCAGTCTCCTTGTCAGTCTGCTCTTCAAAAGGAACTTAGAAATTCTCACGGCCGCGCCATAGCTCAAGCTATTAGTTGCTGGCTTCCCACCGCGGCGGCTCGGGTTCGATCCCGGGGTCTGGTCAAGTGGGATTTGTGGTGGACAAAGTGGCGCTGGGGCAGGTTTTCTCCGAGCACTTCGGTTTCCCCTGCCAATCTTCATTCCAGCAATTGCTCCACAAGCACCTTCACCTATCATCTGGGGCTGGTACAATAGGCCAGAAATGGCCGCAGTACAAGGAACTTAGTCCCACCCCACTAGCAATAAAAAAAAATAGAAATTCTCAACTGTGCTCTGGTTTGGCGAGCGTAACAAACTTGCAACTAGTGTAATTTGTTTGGAGACAAGAAATCTACATATTTACATCTAGGCTGAAGCATTAGTGTGAGCTTTCACTCTCTGACGGGCGCCCACTCAGATCCTGAAGGAAACAAGCCTCCGTTTGGCTACATCAAACGCACTTCCTGCAGGAACGCGGAGGGACCCAACCACCGGAAGCCCGGGATACAACAGAATTCCTTGAGTATCTGAGAAACTTCTGACTTCTCAAAAAGAATTCGGTTCCATGGGGTTCATTTGATAACACCAACACAGAGGCAGTGTTTGTTTCTACCTTATTTTTTGACAACGAATTCTGTTGGCAGTTGTTTATATAAGCATTCAAAAGTGTTTAATTCTCAGCTTACAAATATATTAATATAACAATGACGCGCAAGCCTACATGTAAGACTGACATATAATCAAACTCCGTGGCTTTAGTCCGCAAGCGAGCTATACCGACCGAGCGACCGCCGCTTGTCAGCGAAATTAGTGCATACTTTAGCGGATAGAGGGTGTCGCGTGGCCAGCGCAACGAATCCTCGCGGCCGTTAATTTCGGTTTTCTAGACCGGAGCCGCTACTTTTCCATTCAAGTAGCTCCTCAGTTACCCTCACGAGGCTGAATGGACCCAGTTCCAGACCCACTACTTCTCAGAAAATCTGGTAGTGCCGTGAATGGAACCTTGGTCCTCTGGATCTGTAGTCAGGAACTCTGACCATTAGACCACAGAGGTGGTCTGGGAGACTTGACAGCTATCAGGAAATGCACACCAGCGGAAATGCAACACAATAAATATGTACTTTATATACGGTAGTTGTAAATTGTTTCTTGCATACTTGGTCCAGGGTTGATTGCAGTAGAAAGTTTTGCAGTGCTGCCAACATTTATAATTAATTCCATGCACTTTATGTTATGTTTCCAGTTACCAAGATTAGCTAGTATTCGTACAAAGAATGTTATGACAGTTTTACATAGTGAATGGATTCTACCTCGCGATCAAGTTAGACAAATCTACAGTAGCTGGCTGTAATGACTTACATCTCTGATCCTAGGGCCCGCAGTTTACACAGGGTTTCTCCCAGCACCCAGGGATACTGCTGCCAGAACACGCCCAAGTCATACGGCAACCCTGCAAAAATACAGAGAGGACAGGTGATCAGGTTGGTGCAACAAACGAAAACACGTTGCGTATTTCAACTACTGCTTACTTACACGATCTGTAAAAATGTAAAAGGTAAAGTTGAACCTGTGAGTAACTAATTAAACACTACGCCACGAAGGAGTATGGCGAAGTGGTTGTATAGATCCACATTTTCCTGACTTTGGAACTAGCTGGAAGTGAGTGGTCAGATTCACGCTCCGGCCGCTTTACCCCCGGAAAAAAGCCCCCAATACCCATTGGATAAGAGGTTGGGTGGACCCCAGAGCTGGTCTTGACGTGGAGAAGAGAAATTTCTTTACCCTACCTGGACTGGAACTCCGACCCCTCGGTTGTCCAGCCCGTAGCCAGTCGCTATACTGACTGAGATATCCCGGCTCCTCTTACATGATTTGTAGAAAAAACTTATTTTATATAAGTTACTCTTATTCGGTGGATGCATTTAGTGTATAACGGAATGTTTATATTCATCAGCCTGCCAGAATAATTTACCTATTTTCTTATAGTAAAAATTGTTTTACTTCCTCATTAGACTCTCATTTCCAATGGCGAAAACTCTCAAAGGAGGAAACAGTTCATCGTGGACTACGCGCCCGCAGAAGAATAAGAATATTCATACTTATCGACCCCTCGATTGAATGTAGACTATATTATTCATTTATATTTAACTAAGTTTTAACTACGGTCCCTACAGACCATCATCAGGGGGACATCGACACTCTTTGGAAACCACTATTATAATAGGTGTTCTGAGTCTATAGGGACCGAAACATGTAAGGGTGTTAAGAATTGAAGTAGTAAAAACTTCAACAGTCACACTGGACGGAATTGTTTTATTCTTTAGAATATAGTTAGTGTGACGGANACGCTATCCCGGCTCCTCTTACATGATTTGTAGAAAAAACTTATTTTATATAAGTTACTCTTATTCGGTGGATGCATTTAGTGTATAACGGAATGTTTATATTCATCAGCCTGCCAGAATAATTTACCTATTTTCTTATAGTAAAAATTGTTTTACTTCCTCATTAGACTCTCATTTCCAATGGCGAAAACTCTCAAAGGAGGAAACAGTTCATCGTGGACTACGCGCCCGCAGAAGAATAAGAATATTCATACTTATCGACCCCTCGATTGAATGTAGACTATATTATTCATTTATATTTAACTAAGTTTTAACTACGGTCCCTACAGACCATCATCAGGGGGACATCGACACTCTTTGGAAACCACTATTATAATAGGTGTTCTGAGTCTATAGGGACCGAAACATGTAAGGGTGTTAAGAATTGAAGTAGTAAAAACTTCAACAGTCACACTGGACGGAATTGTTTTATTCTTTAGAATATAGTTAGTGTGACGGACCAGAATGAAACAAATCAAATTCATTTATATTCATTCATTTCATTCATTCATCAGTAATCTGTCATACGACAGGTCCACAGTCTCTTCCAAAACAGTTCCTCCACTTGATGCGATCTAGAGCTTTCTCCTTCAAAAGAAAATATCCTCTTCTGTCCCCAAGGTCATCCAGCATCTTCTTACATCTTCTTCCTCGTCTTCTGGCTCGCATACATGGTATCTCTGTTTTTGGAAGGAGACTATCCAGGAAAAGTGATAATGTGGTAGTTTTTCCATTTGCTTTCCACATCGCAGTACAACAGCCGTTCAAACCACTCTGGTCACGCCTGTTGCTATACGAACTTGAACCATCTCGAGCATCATTTTCTCTGTGCTTATGCTATAAATAGAATGGAAATATTAAAGTCTCGTCTCCCTTGTTTGGTAACATTATGATCTAGAAAGTTTTGAGCTGAGATAAACACGACCAGAACCCAGAAATTTGTTTCTAATATGTGATAGGGAAATTTCGATAATAACTTTTGAACCTTAAGTGAGAAAATGAAAGCACAGAATATCCACTTAACGGGCGAGTTGGGCAGGACGAATTATACAGAATGTTTCGCGATATATTGGCCTGATTTCATGAGCGTGTTCTACAGGTCATTTTGGGCAAAAATATCTAAAAAATATATAAGTAAATTCGACTTCGTTATCGAGTTGAGCGTTAAATTAGTGTAACACTGAATAGAGAAAAGTCTTTTCAACTCACCTTTATTATTTCAAAAGAATACGATAGTTTAGTTTCAAGGGTATTACAACATATGTTCGAAATGCACAACGTTAGAGTAGATGCATGCTACCAGTCATTGTGCTATTGAATGTTACCACAGCATCTGTTTCAGTTCGTTTCTCATACCAACAGCGGTTTCATCTATGGCCCATGCTGAGTGATGACTGGCTTGTGGTTTACCACTGCGATACACTCTACTTCATGCAAGCTCAATGGGTTTAAGTTGGGAGCACGAGCAGGGCGTCACCCGTCCACATCTTCCTATGTTTCCGTCTTCCTTCACGATATTCCTTAAAAATATTCCGTTCCATCCCTGCCGAATTGCAGAGGTGCTTCATCATGTAACCACGTTGTTTTCGTGTTACAAGAGACGCACTCTCTAAAATGTTCAGTTCAGTTTCCATTGAATTCCTATAATGCGGAGTTTTTTAAAGTCCATCAATAAAATGTGGTCAAATGGAGTTAATGATTAATACTCCACACCACATGTTAACTGAAAGTGGAGTTGAAAATTACATTATGTTACCTCATATGGATTTTCGTGTGCCAAAGTTTGCGAATTCCATATGCCGGTAATACCATCCCGGGAAAATTCAGCCTCATCCGAGAGCAATTCTTTTTTCCTTGGCACTACAGCCCCAGTGGACCTAGTCCTACCTCCATGAACTTCTCTGTTCACTTCGGATTTTCTAGATCTTACACGTTCGGTAGGACTCCTTGGGCGAGTGATCAGCTCGTCGCAAGGCCTCTACCTGTACACAAACACAGAAAAACGCACACACACAAACACTAAAAATCCATGCCATGAGTGGGATTCGAACCCACGTTCCCGGTTTCCAAGCAAGCTAAGACAGTACATGCATTAGACCGCTCGGCTACCGTGACCGGCCCGAGAGTAAAATACCACGCAGAATATGTAGCCATGGTTACAGTCATTCAAAAAATCGTAAAGTTGTCGTGATCATCTGGTAAGAGGTAACATGAATGGAAGCTGTAGCAGTTCAGATGTAAGGGTAAGATCAGTTACTCCTTTACTGAGTTACTTAAATAGACCCGAGTGCGGTTCTTAAGCTTGATTAATTAAGTTGTACATTACTGGTGGAACAGCAAGGGGAGTTACTTCCATTCTTCGCCTAAGAAAGAACTTAGTACAAGTCTTGCATTCAGTTAAAATACAACATGTTATGCCAAGTTAAAAACAGTTTTGAGACCTCAGCATACCGTAACAGTCCTGATTTGCAAGTGAGCAATAGCAGTTCATGGTTTGCAGCGAGAAATCTCCATTGTTAGCAGCCGACACCCAGTAACAATTAGTGATGACAGAATAAGAGAACGAAGACTTAGTGTGTGTTGTGAGGGCCGCACCATAGCTCGAGTGGTTAGTCGCTAGCTTCCCACCTCGGCGGCCCGGGTTCGATCCCGGGGTCTGGTCAGGTGGGATTTGTGGTGGACAAAGTGGCGCTTGGGCAGGTTTTCTCCGAGTACTTCGGTTTCCCCTGCCAATTTTCATTCCACCAATTGCTCCACAATCACCCTCACCTATCATCTGGGGCTGGTAC